GGTCCACCCTACAACTGAAAGAGCACTATGACACATTTTTTATCAGAACACACGGCTCGGAATTCCTTTGCACACGGAGATGACTCATGAGGGTCTGAAGTAGTTTGGCAATAGCTTGCACTCTCGGCAAAAACCATGAACGTTCACAATGATAAAACGATAGCGACCATCATGCAAAGCGGATCGCGAAACAAATAATCAGTGGTACAAAGAGAAAGAGGCAATATGGTGATACTGTTTTATTGATGTGTTATGATTATCCCAGTGCTACTTTGCGTAGGAACAATGCCAAGGGCTGTAGGTAACTTTAAAATCAAGGTCTCCTGGTTCTGCACCTCAACCACACTAGTCTACTATTCCCATAAGTAAAAATTTGGCAATTTTGGGATTTAGAAGCACTGATGCACAAAGGTCTACTCCCAAAAATTTGTAGCCAATTGGTTTTCTTTTTTGGTTATTGCCGAGGTTGATTCTTTTTTTTACCGACATGACATGCGCTTTTTTGGGTTGACCATATATATGTTGTCGTGTTTTGTCTTAATAGGAATCAGAGGCCTTCCAACTGAGAGGTTCACGCAAGCTATCGAGAGAAAGGGCCGGCAAATCTGATTGGCCTTTGACACAAAGAAAAAAACAAAGGTTTTGCGTGAGGGATGATTAAGGATTGACCGAAAGAGTTCAAGGAGATTTTGTCTTACCAGATCAAATGAGATTGAAGATAGACACAACTTCGCAAGCGAAGGCCTTTGCATCAAGACGGTTGTCACCTTCGGCGACGTAAGCAACGAGCGTATCAATCTCCACGGAGCCAGTATCGGGAGAGGACGACGTCAGAGCCGCGAGCAATCTAGTGGCCAAGCCGCCTGCACAAAAGATAGGCAAGCCCGGAGCATCTTGCGGTAAATAACTGGCGTATCTCGTCTGGATGATTCGGCGCAGTGCGGTAGGCGGATCTGGCTGGTAAGCCCGGATGTAATGAAAGAATGTTGAGGGGTGTTGTAGGTGGGAATCTGAGCGAGCCGCCGCGTCGACCGAAAAGAACTGATATTGCAAACCCGGCCGTTGTGATCCATGCCTTCATCCTGTAAACATGCAAATCTTTCCCTGCCCTTTATAGAAACAAAAAACGATCACCTATCAATCGTCCGTCGATCTAAATCGATCAACAACAACCGTTAATTTGGATACTGTTTAATTTTAATCGTTTCATCTTCATCTTTTTATCTCGTACCTTAATCACCGGTGACCGTTGCCGGACAAATGTATACAGCTCGTCTGGGCTCTGATAAAATTGGATCGGGGTTGTTACTTGGTTGAGAATATCTTGAGACTGGGGAAGGCCAGATAGACCGGGATGTGGTCTTGAGGATTGAGGATGCCGACCTTTTGGATAGGGCGGAGTTGTGTGCTGAATGTATCATCAAATCCATCGCCAACTGAGGCACTTTAGCGAGTGAGACCACCGGCTGTGGATCCAGAAACAACAGTTAGCTCATACTGGGATAATGTGCTCTACTAGACTGCCCGGGTGGACGGACATACCAAGATCAAGAACCCAAGTTTGGCGAGCTGGAGATGAAGTACTCTGTGTGCTCTCCGGGACGATCTCTTGTCGGTTGGAAATTGGCCAAGGATGACGCTTTGCTGTGAAGTCGCAGTCCGACCACAAATAGCCTGCACCCCGGGGGGTCTAGGTCTAAACAAACTCCCTTCGCAGCCTCCCCGGCCTCCACCCAACGCAGTGACGTGTTTCCTTCACGCGGATGGGTCCCAGCTTCTACTTCACCTTGGCTGGGCCACGGACACGTCGCAAAACGCGGCGGGCGTCCAACTCACCCCGATGTGTAGTTTGGTTATGTTTTTTGTTCTGCTCAGCGCTGCTATCAGCCGTTCCCCTCCCGGCCGTGTGATGCCTGATATACATCATGCATTGGAGCCAAATCGGCTCCTCCGGTCCTGGCCAAGACTGTGAGTGGCCCTCACTAGGGTTGACGGCGCGCTACCTGAGGCGCGCCGATGTGCGGGCGCCGCGCACGCGCGCCCTCGGCGCGCATGAAATCTGGAAAAAGGGGGGGTGGCGCGCACTTCTAACCCTAACTTTTTCGGGGGGAGTCATCCATCAACTACCCATAAAAGCTGTATTTTTTGGGTTTCTTGGTGGTTGAACTTACTTTTTGGCCCCCGAGAACCCGGTTCGACCCCCGAATAGTGTGAAGTGCCGCATGGCACCCACCGATTGTGGCTACCCGATAAAGCAAAGTCAGACTTTGCTGTGGTAAAAAATTTAGGTTGAAAAAAAAATATAATTAAAAAATTAAAAAACATGGAAAATAGGCGATATGTACATGTTTTTTACTGCGGAAAATGGCGCCCCTGGCGCGCCTCCAATGTGCCTGCCAAAGGCGCGCATCGCTGGCAGTTTTGGAGGCGCCCTCCGGCGCGCACTTTTCCAAAGTGGCGCCGTCAACCCTAGCCCTCACGCCCCACTTGAGCGCCTGCCCGGACGCAGTGTTAAATCCTTCATCTAAGGGCTGCACTCAGGACTCATACACGCTCATCCCAGTAAGTTAAACA